CAGCAGATTTCAAGGACGCCACCATCATCACCCTCTTCAAAAAAGGAGAAAGTACAGCCTGCGGAAACTATTGAGGTATCTCCCTTCTAACCTCCACTGGGAAAATCCTCGCAAGAATCCTTGCAAATTGCCTTCTACCCCTCTCAGAAGACACCCACCCAGAATCCCAGAATGGCTTCCGCCCCTCCAGAGGAACAGTGGACATGATCTTCACTGCACAACAGCTCCAAGAAAAATGCAGGGAACAAAATCAGCCACTATACATGGCATTAATTGACCTTGCAAAGGCATTCGACACAGTGAATTGCAGCGCTCTCTGGACCATCCTCCAGAAAATTGGGTGCCCTAACAAATTTGTTAACATCCTGCAACTCCTCCATGATGACATGATGGCAACAGTCTTGGACAGAAATGGCTCCCAAAGTGACCCATTTAAGGTGGAATCAGGCGTCAAACAGGGATGTGTTATTGCCCGAACTTTATTCTCCATCTTCATCACTGTGATGCTTCATCTTGTTGATGGGAAGCTTCCCACCGGAGTGGAAATCATCTGTCGGACAGATGGCAAGCTATTCAACCTCAGCAGACTGAAAGCCAAAACCAAGGTTACAACAACATCTGTTATAGAACTCCAGTATGCTGATGACAATGTCATCTGTGCGCATTCAGAAGAAGACTTACAAGCCACTCTAAACACCTTGCAGAAGCATACGAGAAGCTCGACCTGTCATTGAACAATCAAAGAAAACCAAAGTGCTCTTCCAGCAGCCAATCCCTCTGCAATGCCAGAGATACAGCTTAATGGTGTAACATTAGAAAATGTTGACCATTTCCTACCTTGGCAGCCACCTCTCCACAAAAGTCAACATTGACACTGAAATAGAATATCGCCTGAGCTTTGCTAGTGCAGCATTTTTCCGAATGAAGCAGAGAGTGTTTGTGCACCAGGACATTTGTAGGGATACCAAGGTGCTTGTTTATAAAGCTATTGTACTCCCAACCCTGCTGCATGCCTGTGAAACATGGACTGTCTACAGACGTCACATGCAACTCCTAGAACGATTCCATCAGCGCTACCTCTGGAAAACCCTGCAAATCTCTTGGGAAGACAAGCAGACAAGTGTCAGCATGCTGGAAGAAGCAAAGGCCACCAGCATTGAAACGATGGTCCTCCGCCATCAACTCAGCTGGACCGGCCACATTGTCTGGATGCCTGACCACTGTCTCCCAAAGCAGTTGCTCTACACTGAACTCAAGAATGGAAAACGGAATGTTGGCGGGCAGGAAAAGAGATTTAAAGATGGGCTCAAAGCCAAACTGAAAAACTCTGGCATAGATACTGAGAACTGGGAAGCCCTGGCCCTTGAGTGCTCCAGCTGGAGGTCAGTTGTGACCAGCAGTGCTGCAGAATTTGAAGAGGCACAAATGGAGGGTGAAAGAGAGAAATGTGCCAAGAGGAAGGCGTGTCAAGCCAACCCTGACCGGGACCGCCTTCCGCCTGGATACCAATGCTCTCACTGCGGGAGGCAATGCAGATCAAGAATAGGGCTCCATAGTCACCTATGGACCCACCCTGGAGGATTATCCTACTCGGACAACGAGGGATCGCCTAAGTAAGTAAGTCCCCATTCCCTGCTCCATGTTTTTATCTCCCCCCCCTCCTGTACCTAAAATACCTGGTCAAACATATTTTCCTTTTCTTCTTTTTCTATCTCTTTCTTCCTCCTACAACTACTGTATTTGTATTCATTTCATACTGATATCTCTAGTCCCCTTCCATCTCCTTCACACCCTTCCTTCTTCTACACCCACTTCTCCTAGCTATATTAATTATCTTCTTTCTCCTTCTATCTTTTCAAACTGTTTTCACTTGCTCTGACATTAAGAAAAGCTTGAGATGATGGTACATGGATTGAGCGGGAAGGGTTGGGGTGAGCGGGGAGAGGAAAGGAAAGAAAATGAAGTGTGACCAATGAGGGGCACTGGATAAGAGCAGGGTTTGGAAAATGTTCTCTTTTACTTGAGAAAGTTCCTTTGTACTATGCCTGTAATGCATTAAAATCAGTGCTTGCAAAACCGTTGGAAAAACACGACTAAACACTCGGCTTTCTTGATGGCTACACCCAGACTGTGAAACTACCTTTCAAGGGAATCAAAGTTGACTCTCCCATGTTGTCCTTTGCTGGTGTTCAAAGGCCTTTACATTGAGATAAGTTTTGGGCAACTGATTGACTTCTGAGGAAAGGATTTTGTACTTTATCTTTCTATCTAATGTACTTTAAATTTTTTAAAAATATTTCAATTTGGTGTTTGTAAAAATTTTCAGTGTTGTGGTTGTTTTGGCATGATAATCTGCATTTAAATATAGCTCACTGTGTTTTTACTATTATCTATTATTTGATCATGTTGTGAGCCGCTTTGGGTCTCAGTATTAACAGAAAAGCAGGATTTAAAATGAATAACGTAAACAAAAACTGTCATAAAGAACATGGAGGAAGAAGTTGATTTGAAATTTATTTGAAATATTGTTATTAACCAGCTTTGTAAAACCAGAAGGAGTCTAGCATACTTTTTTCTCTTGTTTCATAATCCCTTGTCCTGTTCTCTTTAGCTGACCTCCTTTCATGCGTTGACCCTGGAGCTCAGCTGTACACATCAAATTGTGCTAAAACTGAAAATGAGTTCACACAATTAAGTAAAATTCACATAATCACATAATTATTACAAGCCCTGTCAAAGTTCCTAAGATAGAGTAATGCTAGTTTCTTGGGAATAGTGAAAGATGACTTGGAAATTCTCATAAACATCTAGTTGGGCACCGTGGGAAATAGAATGCCAAATTAGATCCCTGTAGGCCAAACCATCAAGACATCTCCTACATTCTTATGTTAAAGGATAAATTGTATATAAGGATAAATAATTCAGAATAGAATGTGTGGATAAGTAATCTTTTAATACAGAGTAAGGCCACTAGACCATTGTTCTCTAAATTTGAGTCTTTTGAGAATTTCTTGCTTTTCTTTCTGAAATCCTGAGGTTCATCAGACAAAACCAGAGGCAAAATGTTGCTCCCAGGGTGGAGCCAACTCCTTACTGTGCTCCATGAGCCATACCTCTGGGATAACCTGAAGGGTTTTACACATGTTGAATATCCCTTATCCAGAATACTCAAACACTCCACAATCCAAATTGTCTACCTGGAACGCTAAGATTTTTGCTCTCTGATGTTTCAGTGTACACAAACTTTGTTCAATGGACAAATTATTAAAATGATTGTGCATATGTACAATGTTTATGGCCTCCCTGGTGGCACAGCAGGTTAAACTGCTGAGCTGCTGAACTTGCTGACTTAAGGTTGGCAGTTCAAATACGGGGAGCAGGGTGAGCTCCCACTGTTAGGCAGTTCAAAAATATGCAAGTGTGAGTAGATTAATAGGTACCGCTTCTGTGGAAAGGCAATGAAACATCATGCAGTCATGCTGACCACGTGACCTTGGAGGTGTCTATGAACAACGCTGGTTCTTCAGCTTAGAAATGGAGATGAGTGCCACCCCAGAGTTGGACTTGACTACACTTAATGTCAGGAGAAACCTTCACCTTTTTACAATGTAATTATGATATATGTGAATTGGTGTTTTATTTCCAAGATATCTCTTTATGTTCATATAGGTATTACAAAATCTGAAATCCTTGTGGTCCTAAACATTTTGGATAAAGAATACTTATTTTATTCAGTTATTGAAGATCTAGTATTCTAACACAACACTAAAACTGGCCGTCAGTGCTGCACAAACACCATCACATTATAGAATTACAGTTCTATCATTCCTTTTTAAACTATTATGGTTTCCTTATATGGAATCCTGACAATTTAGATGTGACATTTTGAATTCTTAGCCATAGAGCTCCTGTGTCTCAAACTATAAATCCCATTATTCCAAGTACAATAACAGTGCTATAAATAGTGGCAATGGGTCCCAGGTGAAATGCATCCAGTTCCTACTCATATTTTACAGATGGAATATTAAGGCTAAGAGTTCAGCAACAAGCACACACCAGTATATATTCATCTGATTTCTTCACAATTCTGATCTAACCTGCATGGTGGCAACTGTTCATTGTTTCAGATGGGGTCAGGTATTGAACTAGAACCTTTAGAATGCAAAGATGGATAATAGTTTCAATATTTTTTTTATGAGATACTGTAGATGAAGTAGCATGTAAAACTTTTATTCAGCAAGTGTTATCAATATATTTAAAATGTATCAGGTTGTTATGCTGTGAAATGAGAACTAGAGTTTCTGTCCATGAGAACAAATAATCATAATTTGTTCCAGTTACTCTCAATTTGTACATTAGCTTACTGAGTATTTGGGGTGACATTCAATAGTTGAGTAATTGAAAATCTTACTTATTAGTTCGTTCAAGGTTTACATTTTCATTTATTTCATGATAAAATGAGCTGGACGCCACAAGATTATTATGTTGGCAGTGCAGCTGTTAATTCAACTGCGTTTATTTTAATCCAGTGTTTAAACAAATGAGATATGGAAATAATTTCTTTTCTTTTTAAAAAAAAGCTCTTTATGGTCAGTGGTTTTGACAAATAGCTGTATGGATGGATTGTTTTAACCAGAGAGAGAGAGAGAGAGAGAGAAGGAGGAGGGGGTTGTAATGAGTTGATTGTACTAGGATTTCGAAGTACTGTATGCAGGAGGAAGCTTTTAGAGTTTAATGTTCTTCATCCAATTTTAATATATTCAGATGAGGTCTAACCTAATATCTGAATATATTAGTATTTGAAAATGTAGCTACTGGCTGAATGCATTTCCTGTATTGCATTTATAGTTCTTTTTTTCAGAAAAATGCAACCAAGTTTGTAGTATTATTTAGAATATGGCAGTTTGTGAAAATGTTTTGTTCTATTTTTGTGTTGGCTTGCTTTTCATCAGGCATGAGATTCACAGAGTCATTTTCCCTCCCTCCCTCTCTCCCTCCAGGATTTCGTCATGGGTTCTTCAAAATCTAGGAAGAGGTGCTCCCAGCCCAGCCACATAATGTTTTCTTAGCACCAGACAGCTGGCATAAGTGACTCAGACTGGGTTTCTGATCCAGCAGAAGTGTGGGTGACCCATTGACCCATTCGCCGAGGCAATGGACACCCACATGGACTTGCTGACAGAGCTCCAGCTGTTGGATAAGGTGCCCACACTGGAACGGCTCCGAGCAGCTCAGAAGCGCAGAGCTCAGCAGCTGAAGAAGTGGGCGCAATATGAAAAGGAGATGCAGCACAAGAAGAGAAAACATGAGAAGAAGAGGAACCTTGTCAACCGCAAAAAGGTTTCTTTTGAAGCCAGTGTTGCATTATTGGAAGCATCCCTACGGAATGACATTGAGGAGGGTAAGAAGCTGAAAGTTCTGCTATAATATATGATGCACTTTCCTTCTGTGTTTCAGCCATAATTGGCTGGAGCATTTAAAAAGATTTGGAGCTTGAAATCCCAAACAGCATGTTTTTATAGTTTTGAATAAATGTGTGCTGTGAAGTTCTTTCGAAGTGATATTTTTAGATTATTGTGGATCCCACAGCCTTTCCTTCCACAAATATTAATAGTGGGCTTTGTTAGGCTGTTATCCATATTTCTGTATTACTTCTACTGTTTGACAGATGATAGTGGGTTTTTCAATAATCATGTATTTCAATTACAGTTGTAATTTTTAGAGAGACAGTGGCAAAGCTTGGGGTGGTTTTTATGTGCTTTGACTGGTATGCCAACTGCGAAAGGCAAATCTGTTCACAACACCACATGTACTGGTGTCATCAAAGTTAGATTGCCTTCATGGAAATTTCAGCTGATGTTTCAAAGTATATCTGCATGAATGTTATTATGGACGGGACAGTTTTATTTGGATGTTGATGATGGTAATACAGTTGCCATTTATGACATACTTAAGGGTGTGGGATGTAATAGGACCCAGAAAGATGCAAATAATGACCCTTTCCTGAAATTAGCTTGAATAAAGAGATTACAAATAAAGAATAAAAAGAGAAATAGCTTAATTGAATTGTACTCACAAATACCATTCTATTCACTATGAACAACAACAGTGATTTCTTGGCATGCTACATATGTTAATATAATTCTCACTGCTGCACATATAACAAAAGGAATTTTCTTAGAGTTTTGAATCCATAGAAACGAGCCTTTGATTATCAGATTAATTGCTTTCACACATGAACAAAGATCTGAAAGACCTGTATCTCATCACCCATTACTTTGAAAATTTAGGACAAGAAACATTATTTGCAACATTCTGGATCCCATTACACTTTATCACACTTACATTTATACCTGAGTCTTCAAATCTTTGAAAGAACTTCACAGTCTTCAACCTTGCATGGTTCTATATCTGAAGCAGTGGGTTTATATGTCTTGTGCCCGGTCTTGAGCTGTGAGGACAAGAAGTTACAAACAGATATTCATGATAAAAATGACATATATTCCACCTTTCACTACTTTGATTTTCTTTAGTTACCTGGTCTCAGGAAAATATTAGGAATGAAAACTCTTGTGGTCTCTTCCAACTCTATGATTCTAAGTTAGACATTTTGAATTCAAAATGTAGATTATCTTGGGGTTTGTAAAAAAATTTTTTCATTGATTCCCATAATAATTTGTTACATATTAACACTAGTGGCTGGTGGTCCCTGTGTCAGTGAGAAAAGATTGTGAATCTGCTTTGAGGTTTAAGAGCTTTAAATGAGCTATCCAAGGTGCTGAATTTATTAAGGGAGTAGCTCTTTTAAATTGCAAGGAATTCACAACTTCACTAACATCAAAGCTACCACCTGTCAGTGTTGGATAAAGTCTAATTGTCACATTTCTTAGAGTGCAGTATTAAAATGACTAAATGCATTCACTTTGCATAATAATATAATGGAGTTTATAAAGAATGTTCCCTTTTATGATTTTTCTGTTCAATTGAAATAGATTTCTGATTGGTTTTGTCTGAACATGATGTGGATGTAGTTCAAATTAGAACAGAAATTACAGCTGGTTCCATTAGAAGCATTAGTATGGCTTGAAAGGAAATACCATAGATCTGAATTATACAACAAATTGTTTAGAAGCTGAAAGCAGGATTAGCCCAGATATTTCTCGACTTGCTTTAGTCATTAAGCATAAATTGTTCAAGTAGGACAGGACACTATATGGTGTAATCTGATCTCAAGATGAAAAGATTAGATTGTTGGAAGAAAGATGATATCATCTAAATGACGTAGTAAACAGAATGAGGAAGAGAAAATCCATTTATTTTTACTGCTTCTATTTTTGATTTTTTTTAAGGTAGCAATTGTTTGTAAGCAGTAGTAAAGGAAGTAAAATTGAGCTGAGTAGCTATCCACATGTGACATTTGAAAGCATTTAAATCTTTCTTGATTTGGATCTCAAATAACAAGGAACAAATAGATTAAAATGGAGATAGAACTGTAATAGGTATATCCACCAATGCATACAAATTCACTTGGAAACAGTAGATTTTAAGAACTTTCTTTATACTTCTTTATATGATGCTATTTAAAGGATATAGACTTGAAGAAGATTTCTAAGTTACATTTCCAGAAATAAATATATTCATAAAATACTGGTTTAAGGGTATCTCTGCACTGTAGAATTAATGCAGTTTGAGACTATGGTACTTTAGGTGGTGTCAAATTGTATTAGTTCTTACAATGTGGATACAGACTAAGCTATATACCTGCATCTTAGCACATTGCCTTGGGTTTGTTTTTTATTTTAGAGTTGGAAGACTTGCATATAAACTGAAAACAATGCCAAAATCCCACATTTTGGGGTATGAACATTTCATAGACAGAAATGTGTGCATTATGGAATATTAAGTGTTAAGGAGTGGTTTTCAGGTTCCTTCCTCTGAAATATAGCCCCTAGCACCTGATAGTCATTGACCGTCTCTGATTCAGCCATTATCCAGAACACCCCCAGCCTAGCTTCCATGCTCAGATGGGATCTGGTGACTTTAGGGCAGGGGTTCTCATAGTTTTTCAGCTCTTGAGTCCTTTTTGAAGCAAAGGTTTCTCATGGAATCCTAATAAATGTTTATATATTATATTTTATATTATATATAATGTGTGTGTATACATATACATGCATACATACATGCTCATACATACAGTGTGTGTTGTCTGTGTATATAACTATATAAATAAAAATGTAATGTTCATTTGTGGGATTAACATAACTCAAAAACCACTGGACGAATTGCCACCAAATTTGGTTACAAGACAGTTACTAACCCAAGGAGTGACCATCACTCAAAAAACTGATTTTGTCATTTGGGAGTTGTAGTTGCTGGGATTTATAGTTCACCTACAATCAAAGAGCATTCTGAACTCCAACAATGATGAAATTGAACCAAATGGGGCATACAGGACTCCCATGACCAACAGAAAACACTAGAAGGGTTTGGTGGACATTGACCTTGAGTTTGGGAGTTGTAGTTCACAAATATCCAGAGAGCACTGTGGACTCAAACAATGATGGATCTGGACTAAACTTGGCACGAATATCTGGGTTGCTGTAGGTTTTTTCTTTGTAGGTTTTTTCATTGTTGTAGGTCCTCACAACCTCACAACCTCTGAGGATGCTTGCCATAGATGCAGGCGAAACATCAGGAGAGAATGCCTCTAGAACATGGCCAAATAACCCGAAAAAAACTACAACAACCCAGTGATTCCAGCCATGAAAGCTTTTGACAATACATTGGCACAAATACTCCGTATGCCCAAATATGCACACAGATGGAGTTTAGGGGAAATAGACCTTGACATTTGAGAGTTGTAGTTACCGGGATTTATAGTTCACTTACAATCAAAGAGCCCCACCAACAACAGAATTGGGGCAAACTTCCCACACAGAACCCCCATGACCAACAGAAAATACTTAAGGCCATTCAGTCCAACTCCCTTCACCAGGGCAAGAAAACATAATCAAAGCCCTCCTGACAAAGAGCCATCCAGCCATAGATATAGATAGATAGATATGATTCACACACACACAGATAGTATCATAGATTTGAAAGGGACCTCTAAAGAAGGACAATTATATGTTGCATGTTCCAGAGTAGGCAAACCAGACACTCTCCACATCAACACTGACAAAGAAACAGCAAGAAATACATTTCTTCTTACAAGCATAAAGAAATCACATATATTCGAAACCAACACTTTCTCATTACTTTATTTTCCAGATCTCCAGATTGGGCCACAGTAGCACGTGGTAGGGGACAGCTAGTGTGTGTGGTGTGTGTGTGTGTGTGTGTGTGTGTGTGTGTATATATATATATATATATATATATATATATATATATATATAAATAGAGAGAGAGAGAGAGAGAGAGAGGAAACAATAGCTCTTTCCATCCCATAATTTCTTACGTGACCCTGGATATATATGTATAGTCAAGAAGTATTAAAAATATTTACATATAGTCGGCATTTAGAAGGCTTGCTAGACAGTCTGTTTTGTGTGTGTGTGTGTGTGTGTGTGTGTGGAGTGCTGCTGAAACATTTACTGAGGGGTTCCGTGCTTCCCCCACCTCCTGCTCCAAGGGCATGCCAGGCACCAGGGCTGTAATTTCCTCAAAAGCACAGCTTGGGGTGGGGCCCGAGCTTGGGCTTTGTGTCAGCAAAAATGGGTGCAGAGGCTGGTGGGTGAGCAGCTGAAAGGCTTTACAGCCACCATATTATTTCTCCACTGCATCTCCTACTGAGGGCACATGGGCTGGCTGCCTGCCTTCCTCACTAACCCTTCCTCCTCACCTTTAAACAGGTGGCAGCTGCAGAGACATAGCATGTGTGAAGAAACCTGTTTCAAGGGGAGGAAGGCCTTTCATTACAGAGGAAAGGGAAATTAATGAAAATGTGATTGTCCTAACCTGTGACAAGAATTATTATAACCTACAAAACCATCATTCTTATATACCCATATTATCACTGATATGTGTTCTACCTGAATCTGGTTTATGTGGGTGTTTTTTTCTGATTTTGCCTAGAAGCCTAGAGATGAGAATGCCCCATGTAATGTGATCCAAAAAAAGATATGCACACCCACTCATGTAAAACATAGCTCATCTTTCCTCATGTGATGCAATCCAAAAAGAGAGAAAAGAAGATATATACCCCCACTCATCTAAAACACAGTCCTGTCCTCGTGCCATTTGCTCATTGCTGCACTCTGGTGCCTTTTTGCAACCAGCTTAGAAAAATTCTCTAGTGCAGAAATGGACAAATTTGATGGGGTAGAAGTGATTTCCCCAACTGTCAGGGCAGATTTGCTGTTTGGAATGAGGCATTTGGATTCCTCAGACAGAAGGTTCTAG